GCATAAATCCAGTCTTGGTCCACTAAATTGTTTATTCTCAACCCATGCTAACTCTACTTTATTGCATCACCTGGAATACCGATGACTTAAAGTGAAATACCTCATACTGTAATTCTACACCATTATGGCTGCAAATTTTACTAAATGGCTTAATAACTGAATAGGCTATTATACCACTTATGTTAGTTGAATCTCCTTCCTTACGTTAAATCTCCTAAATCATGGGGGAAATTCCAGGCCGGTCCCAACTTGCACTTGTTTACATGACAGCCTGTTTCCAGTATTTTTCCCACATACTTTTGATTACCCCTGGGACACACTCACAACATAGTTTTCATAGACACAGTCCGGTTAGGAAACGGCTGGTCATCTAAAATGTGTTGCATTTTTAAGTTTATCTGAGAAGCTTGATTAGTTGGTTCAGGTGTGTTTGAACGGGTTAAAGCTAATGCAAACAGCAGATGTTTTATATCGCTTGACACTTCGTCTGTCAAAGCTTGGCAAATCAGCCTGAACCGGTCAAACTGATAGAAATGACTTATTACAAAGTAAACAACTCAGAATGAAGATCCATGAGCAAACCCATTTTTTTGAGCACTCAGTTAAATGAAAGGTTTCCTGCAACCTATAGGATTTGTAGGGATGCACCAAAATGAAAATTCTTGGCCGAAACCGAAAACCGAAAAAGAGGAACCCAAGGCCGAAAAACCGAAAACACCGAAAGAAATTATGCCAATTATAAGTACCATTGCATTTATGGTTATGACTGTGTACAAACTTTACTAAAATTAAGGCATTGCAATTGCATAAATTAACATTTTCAAAGAATAAATCAATTGCATTGTGCTAAATAAATATTTGCATAATTTGTACAGTATAAAATAAAATTCTAACTAAAATGTTTAACTTGACCCCACTCATGTGTACATTAAATAATAATCTGCTGGCCTGCAGAAAGGTTTTAAAATTAAATGTTCTCTCATAAAAACAAAGCCGAGCACGAACTTCTCATCACACCAGCACCCAGTTTGCACGTCTAAATTAGTTGATTACATTTTAAAAATGAGCATACACTAGCATAAAAAGCCATTTTAATGAACAACGGTCCATGTTTAATACAAATATACACGAAACTTAATGAAATATGTTTAGTGAAACTAGAAAATATTTAAGAGAGCGTTGATTTAGTACATATTCCTATACATATTTTGTTGTAATGTCACAAGTAATAATCTCAGGGTTTACTGGGTTTTACATGATTATTTTTGTATTGGTGGTGGTAGGCTACTAAAAAATAAACATTGTCACATGTTTATCTTTCTTCTTCTCACCGATTCCTGATGGTTAGAGGACAGTTACTTGAGTCGTCCCCTGTCGTTTCAAAGAATAGTACAACGGCGAGGGAACATGACATCATGACTTTGCGTAAACATACACGCCACTTTCAAGTCAAGTGGCGTGTTATCTATACACATTTTGAGCTATCCGCGTGTATGTCCACGCCGAAATCTTTTGCGTGTATGTCTACGCCATTAAATGTCCGAGTGATTCCGCGTGTATGTGTACGCCGTTAAATGTCCGAGCGAAACGAAGCAAAATCTATATCTACATCTGTGGAGCGATATTTCTTTTCCTAGGATGGTAGGAGAAGACTCATAAATGGTATGAACCCCAGTGACGGGTAGGTTTAGGGACGGGGTTGGGGTAGGTCATATATCTATATACATAATACAGTAATATAACGTTAAGTCAAAGGCGTTGATAAACACGCTGAAAAGCGATTATGCGTGTTGATAGCACGCCAAAAATGGAAATACGAATTGGCGTGTCATATATACGCCATTTCATGAGATCAGTCTGGCGAGCGCGTCAAGTATAAACGCCTCGACCGTTTGGAGAGGTAACGCGCGCTGTCTGTGGAGACTCGCGCTGCAGAGGCAGGCGAAAGTATAAACAAGGCTTCCGTCTCCTCGCGGGTTCAGATATACTGAAATACGTCCACACCGCAGACACGTTGCTTCAGACTAGCACGTGCAGGTCGCGGTTTCTGTTTGCGTCATCACAACATTTCGGCCGTATTGTTTCGGTGATAAAAGTCTTTCGGCCGAAAACCGAAAATGCACTTTTGGGCTATTTTCGGCCGAAAATGTTCGGTGGCCGAATATTAGGTGCATCCCTAAGGATTTGCATTAGCATTAACATTAATTAGCATTATTACCAATAAAATGTCAATGAAATGTTTAAAACGTATACATTTGATGACATGTTGGTGTGACTTGGTTTTAATAAATAAATATAAAAATATATAATTTTGATTGCTTGTTAAAGTAAATAGTGTTTCAAAAACCTTTGACCTGAAACATTCAATCAAATGGAAATTAAACTTTATATGTTGAACTATAAGAAAACCCATCCACAAAGTGGAGTTTGCTCCCTCATTTGAAAATTCCCCCCTGTGCCATTGGCTCATAGAAATTCAGAATGAGAGCAGAAGTGGTTAACATTATGTTTCACTGTTATTTTCACAGACTCGAAATGCCAACTACTCAGGACAGCAAGCATTAGCAGAGAAGAACTCCAAAACGGCACGCACCCTGAATCATGTCGGCGTTGCTATTGGGCTTGTTCTCACTGTATTGTTGATTGTCCTCCAGGTAGTGGTTATTACGAATAGATAACAGCTATTAGAGATGTCATGTTTGGATGCAGATTAGAAAGAGATTCGCTTCTCTGCATTTGAAATGTTATTTGCTCAATGTAAAACACACAATGATTATGGTATGTTTAAAACAATGAAAGCTTTGATTAGCTAATTAAAATTTATAATGAAAACAGTGCTTTTTCTTTTTTTTTTCTTAATCATTGAATTACATTTTCAGTAATTAATTGAATGTTACCACTGCGTCAGATTAGTGACGACAAATATTTGGCACTAATTCAAGTGTACTTGGTTTGCAAAGTTTCCGTTTAGAACAGCAAAAATGCTGCTTGACCAATCTAAATCTGGGTGTGTCTTACCTCTGTTTTAATTTAATGTTACTTTAGATAAGTGTAGTACATGGGAAACCATGGCAGGGCCAATCCAAAGCTATGGTCTGCTTATATCTTTAGTAGTGGCCATACTTCTGCCTGAAGTAAACATTACTTTAAATTCAAGTGTATGCAAAACCACGGAGGCTATACCAAAGTATTTTTGATTGTGTAAGCGTGAATGCGACCATCTCAGATATATAGCCAATTACCTCTGTTTAGTGACCGAAGCTGGCGAGCTTGTGATCGTGAGACCCGCGTTAAACAGAAGGCGAGAAGACCTCTGAGCGACATAGCGTCCTAATATGAAAGGGTAAAATATAAGTAAAGAGTTAAATAGAACAATCAAATGTATTGCTAACTATTATATAATTGACCAATAACCAATTGGCATTCTAACCTAAATTCGAGGTCTTTATAAAATGGAGTCAGATAAAAGTTTAAATGGAATAAAATTACTTTGCCACACGGAAAGACAGTAGGCCTACAGACCTTCACCCGTTCTATCGGATTGTGTCCCAGATAGCACAAGTCTATTTGATGTGATGTTTACATTTGGAAGACGTATTTTTATGAGTGTCTGCTCATCTGCAATACGTCTATAGGACGTTTCCTGTCAGATGTCAAATAGACGTTTAGAAGATGTCAGTTTAACATGCATTCTAAACCATTACATCTTAAAGACATCTTCTAAATGTCTATTTATAAACGTTCATTTATAAACACGTGTTTTCGAATTAGACAGGCTCACACTATCTATCTATCTATCTATCTATCTATCTATCTATCTATCTATCTATCTATCTATCTATCTATCTATCTATCTATCTATCTATCTATCTATCTATCTATCTATCTACATATCTCTGCAACGTGATCTCATGAGTATTCATAAGTACGGTATTTTGCGTAAAGTGTGGTTCTACCACAAGTACATTTAAAAACGTACAATATTGATGTATTAACAGCACTAAAACGTAAATTATTTGCGTATAAACAACTTTACAGACGTAAAAAAAAAAATGTATGAAGCCTTATGAATATTAAATTTGTGCCATTAATACCCTGGTGGAAAACAAAATGCTATATGCAGCCAGACTAATTATCAGTATACTTCAAGTGTATTAATGAGTAGTTAACTTGAAGTGTGCTATTTTGAAACAACTAATTTTGTACTAAGTGTATTTTAGTTGTAACTAAATTGTAGTAAAGCATAACTTTAAGTGTAGTTAGTGTACTTTTGCGTAATAAATTGGAACAACTTTCTGTGTAGGGAGTAATTACATGGTTGATTAGTGATATTAAAGTGTACTTTATTTGTGTTACAAGTACATTACAAATTCATTACGAGTGAATTTGTTAAAATGTCTTCAAGATGGAAGATCTTTAAGAAACCCCCACTGAATTTAACAATGTGAGGATCAAATAAAAAATTTAAGTATGACATTTTAGCAGAAGATCTTTGTCTATAACTCTGTAAACCAAGATGTGCAACACAGATTTCAACCACAACTGTGCAGGATGTGATGCGTCTGACAGTTTAACCTGAGTTTAACAGTTTCACACATGAGTATTTATGAGAAGTGAATTCAGACAAGCAAAAATACCACAAAGACTGTTAGTTTCCATCAAACAACATCAACATATAAAAGTGTTTGTCAAATACCCAAATCAGGATTTGAGAACAGGAACCTGATTTTTAAAAAAGAAGAAGAAAAAAGAAGTAAAAAAAAAAAAAAAAAAAAAACAGGAATCATTAAATCCTCTCCATATGTCTCCTGGTATTTAATTTTCCTGAACTCATGAAGCTACATGTTGATTCCACTTGGTGACGTCTGCAGTCAAACTAGAAAAGTTACAGTTAACAGTTAATCAGTGCAAAAAATTCTTGTCACTCCTCCCCTTACCGTACAACACAACCCAGCTACCAGTAACTAGAAAAAGAATTTGACACACGTAACAGATCAATCTTCACCTGACTACACACCGGAGACAGACGTACAGATCTTTCTTATTGCAGGAAAAAAACACAATCCAAGACAAACATGGATCCCAAAAAGTCTCCAATGGAAGTAGGGCAGCCTTTACTTCCACTTCAGCAGGACCCTCCAGAATACTCCATTGGGTTCCCTCCCTCTGAGAGTTATCCCAGCACTTCAGGTCAACCTGCGCAGCATTATGGAGCTCCGGCAGCATCTGGCCCGTACATACAAGGGTCATATCCGGTGCAGACTGTGGTCACTATGCAGCCTCCAGCTAATGTGTCCTTCACTCCACTGACCAATCCAGAGTCAGATTACCTGTGTTATTCCATCTTTACCCTGCTGTGCTGCTGCTTACCTCTGGGATCCGCTGCTCTTGTTTACTCCATCACAGTAAGTATTGGTTCATACACCTGTCTCACCACGCTTAGCACATTTACAAATAATAGGCCTACTCTTCAAAATAAATAAATAAATAAATAAATAATTTAACCTTTATTTTTGAAATAATATAGGGCATAAATATTTTTTGGATTTTTTTTATAGAGCTCTGTTAAAATCACTTTATATTAAGAGCTAAACAAGACTTCACAGGGTCACGGTTCATGTCAGTATAAATATATACTGACATGAACCGTGACCCTGTGAAGTCTTGTAAGTCAGATAAGGAATCAACGTGGAACTGAAACAATAGACAATAGAGACAGTCAAAATAATGAGTCATAGTTGTACTAGAATATTAACCAAGGTTCATATTTTAGAGTTTAAATATTTAAAGAATTACATAAAATCTTCAGAAAGTCTTTATTGTTAACAGCCTGCATTTTTAATGATTTGCCGTCATGGATCAAGGTTGAATTTAAATCAAAAAGAGATTTTAACCTCTGTTTAAAATTTCAGCATTGTATTTTTAGCATGTTGTTAACCTTTTTACATCTAGGTCTATTTATGGAATAATTTTTTTTGTGTGTGTGATTTCCAGTAAGTTTCGTTTTTAAAGAAAGGGTGTGGCACGCTAAAAAATAAAGGTTACAAAGGGGTGTTTTCGCAGTGATGCCATTGAAGAATCATTTTTGGTTCCCCAAAGAACCTTTTAGTGAAAAGTTCTTAAAATAAAATAAAAAATCTTAGTTTGAAGAACATTTTAAAAATGGAAAGCAACTTTTTCACTATAGAGAACCTTTAGTGCAATGAAAGGATTCCTTTCTCTCTTTTGAGTAAAAAACATAACAAAATAATAAACTATGCATTACAGAAGTTTAAATTACAGAAGTCATCTAGCTATCACACTGCTATCGCTTGTTTACTCCAATACTTTAGGCCTGTATTCACCTTATTCTAAACGTAAGAGCCATTTTAATTTTGAATGTTCAAGGCTTTCTGTGTTAATTATATTCTCCAGTTAGGCTATTTTAGCTGTGCAATTACAGTTTATTATGGTGATTGGCGTTGTAAACCGGTATTTCTTTCCATATTATTTTAATTTATTAACATAGCCTTCTAATAAGCACACTAGTTTGCACAAACAGTTTTACTGTTTACCGCAATTTAAGTCAGTCACACTGACGAGAAGCTTAGCTGCGGTTAATGAAAAGGAAGCCTACAGAAAATATTGCTTCTGTGTTGAAAGATTCACAATACAGAATAAAGTAGGCTACGTGCTCTAAAATAGTATAAACCGCTAGTACAAAAAAAAAGATTTACAGGCTGTGGCTGGATGTAACCGATTTTAGATTCGTTTCCATTTAATACGTTATGCTTAATACAGCGTCTGATTGCAAGAATAAGTTCAACATAAGCCTATACTATGTAAATACCAATGTAATGGGGTCTACGTTTTTTTAAATCAGTTTTATTTTAATAAAAATGACACAATATCTATCGCGACTACATGGAAAAAACAGATTTTACTGTTATAAAAATGCTGATTTGTGAGCATTAGAGGAACTGAAGGTGTTCGATGATCACACGTGATCGTTGACGTGGTGAATTCAGCCAATCGTGAAACAGCTGTGTCGTCATCAGAGCTTGTGCAGCCGACTCTGGCTGAGTCCTCGGGCTGCTCTCAATCAGTCTTGCGGTACTTTGATTCCATATGGCACATTCATCTTGGTTTCCTTAAAGCTACAGTCCGTAGTTTTTCCTCTTTGTCGCCATTTCTGTTCGAAATCTTCAATTGCAGTTATTCGCAGAATTATCAACTTTACGTGGGTTGTGCCTCGGCACGGCACAGCGAGGATGAATCCAGTGTTTTGAGGAGAATGTGCGGTCAGTCGCCACGCCGGTGTGGATACTGTCATTCGTAATCACAGATTCTACTTTTTGGAAGTATGACCAACATAAGAATTTTCACCGGAAAATGTCATCTGAACAAGTAACATCCACTTTTGTTCTGACCAACTAAGGGAAAAAAAGCATTGCAGTAAATGACGCTGATTAAAACTAACGATCACTTATCATATCATGTCAAACCGTGCAAATTATACTTTGTTCTCAAATTGCTAATGTTCATCATTAATGAATCAGCATTGCATGACCTTCAGATATTTATCCTTGTTTTCGCATGGGCCTGGTTGCAGTCTTTTTTTTTCTGTAGCCACTCCGAAATCTTTTGCATTTTACAACGATTGAATCTCCAGTTGTCACTGGTGATTGTCGTTTGAACCTTTTTGGATCCACCATCAAATTGATAAGTTTAATTATCAAGTGCTGTGAGAAAAGGCTATAAATCTCCACTTCCAACATCCTCACACGCAATATAGCCTACTAGCCGAGACGCCTTCTTTATGTGTTCAGATGTGCTCGAATTTCTGACGGAAATCCACCAGTACCACTGAAATTAAAAACATTATTATAAGCTCACCGTTTTGAATAGAGATAAGGCAAGCAGATAGATTTGAACAGTGGTTACTTGCTCAAAAATATATTTGGGATAATTTTTAACCCAAAAAGGTTACAGACTGCAGCTTTAAATGAACATGCAAGAATAGAAAATGCCAAACCAGTTAATCTGTTTGTAGTAGCCTAACTTTTAAAAACAGATTTAAAGATAGTCTGGCTGAGTCCTCCAGCTGCTCTCAATCAGTCTTGCGGTACTTTGATTCCATATGGCACATTCATCTTGGTTTCCTTAAAGCTGCAGTCTGTAGTTTTTCCTCTTTGTCGCAATTTCTGTTATTCGCAGAATTATCAACTTTACGTGGGTTGTGCCTTGGCACGGCACAGCGCAGATGAATCCAGTGTTTTGAGGAGAATGTGCGGTCAGTCGCCCTGCCGGTGTGGATACTCATTCGTAATCACAGATTCTACTTTTTAGAGTTGCATTTTGTGTTTTCTTATTGTGTTTATATTCTGACCTGTGAAGACCTTTGATTTGATTTTATGCATCTCATTTAAGAAAGGATTTATACCAATATTTGTAATATTATTGTAATTTAATTTTACAGACTCGGGATGCTAACATGTTTGGCCACCAACCGATCGCACGCAGAAACTCCAGAATGGCTCGCATCCTTAACCATGTCAGTGTTGGTGTTGGCCTCCTCTGCTGGTTGATCACTGTCATCTATATCATTGTTGCTGTCAAGGCAATTACAGACATTAGCAATAGCTATGACAATAACTTTAGACCATATTATAGACCATAAGTAAGAAATATCATGATAGGACACCAGAATGCTATAGATGGTGAGGGAACATTAAACACATTTTTTGAATACACAGGCATTTGGTGGTCTGCTTTTAAATGTTAGTGTTGCTCAAGTTATTGATATGAGAGCTGTAAGACTCCAAATGTGTAAGGAGCTCAATCTATAGGGCCAGTGAGGAATGATTTGTATATATCATGCAACTCATCTGCCTTATTATTATTTACATAATTAAAACACATGCTTTTTTTCGTATTTTTAAAATAATGAAAGCTTTGACTGTACATGTATCATCAATTAAAACATTTATTTTTCTTCTTATCTTTATGTTACTGTATATCGTAAAACTTTGGTAATCAATAAGAAATGTATTTAAAATTATGAGTCTGATGTTTTATTTTATCAAACTTTTAAAAAGTATTTGAAAGCACAAAGACAATTGTCTGTTTTCCATACTTACATTTTCTAATGTTTGGCCTCCCATGCCGGAAACACGTGTTCGAATCCCGCTGGGAGTGGGGTGAGTAGAATCGGAGGGGTTACATTTCGGTGCCGTGACCCGGATGGGAGGGAGGTTTAGGCCAGCTAGTTAGAGCTGTGCGAGTAAACCTCACTCCCCGGGCCACAGGTGGTTGTGCACACTGGCATGCTAAAAGGGGTCTTGCACACTCAATGAGGACGACCACCGACACCGTCATTTTTGTTGTGTGCACCTGCCTGCTAGCGAGCGACCAGCATCAAGCTTTTTAAAAAAAGAAGCAAAAGTATCACATAATGGTCCCATGTGACATGTGTTATATTCCAAGTGTTCTGGGGGTAAGCCTATACGATAGGATTTGGTAAAAAACAATTGAATGTATTATTATTTAAAGAGAATCCTGACCTTGATCATTGGACTTCTGGGCACAGCTGCGCGACGTGCACATACGTGTGACTCTATTAGCGCCGCGGTTCACTCTAAATCACCCAGAAAAAGCACAAGTTTTCAATTAATAAAAATGCGACATGAAATACAACGGCTAGAAAAAAAAATTAATCAGTTTGACAACACGTGCTGCAAATGCTCACACAATGCAAACATAATACAGAAACGCACTGCAAATACTAGAGGCCCAAAGAGAAGGAAATTAATAGTTGAAATAAAGTCGTTATTTATGTTTGTTTTTGCGCACAAAAAGTATTCTCGTCGCTTGATAAACTTAATATTGAGCCAATGTAGTCACTTGGACTATTTTAACGATGTCTTTACTAACTTTTCGAGGCCGGCAAGTTTCAATCCCTCAATAAGCCTATGGACTAGTATGGAGGAGTGATCCAGCTCTCAGATTTCATCAAAATTTTCTTAATTCGTGTTCCGAAGATGAACTCTTACGGGGTTGGAACAACATGAGGGTGAGTAAATCCTCCTGGGACCCAAGAATAGACTTTTGTCCACTGTAGTGGACATTATATTTTAGTGAATTTCTCTGACATCATACATGTCACATGACAGAACCTGGGTGTCCTGTAAAGAGCACATTCAGGACTTTTCAGAGATACCAAATGTTTGGAGGCTTCACCATGAAAACAACTTCTCCTTGGTCTTTAAAAATGTCTGACATTAATTTAGTGATCAAATGTAGCATTCTTATGGAAATATGATAATATATTGTAATTATATTTAAATTGGACTACTTTTTCAAATTGTATTTCATAAAACAACATCTCAGGAAAATGTTAAGGGGTTTCAAATAAAAAAAATACTTT